AACAGCATATATGAAGACCCTGAGTCAGAAAGGGATGTAGAACAGAGGCCTAGTGGGCAAGGGGGAGAGTGGTGGGAGAGGAGAGGCTGACAGTAGTCAGATCACTCGGGGACTAACAGACCATGGTAAAGATGTTGGTCTCTATCCTAAAAGCAATAGGAAACTTTATGCTTTCAATAGGGGTGGGGGTGGGGTGGCCTTGATCATACTACAAGCATACTCTGTGGGGAATTCATTTAAGAGGGAATACATTTTAATCAAATTTCATGATCTATCAGTTCCCTCATCAGTCTAAGGATGATGCAAGGCTGGGCTGAGGATTGTTTTTGGTCTGTGAAGTGTACTTGGAATGAAAGCACAGAAAGCTCACTGACCACCCTACCCATTTTATGCTTCTCCATCCCTCCCTGCAGTTGGAAGTACTGACCAACCTGGCCAATGAGACCAACATTCCTACTGTCCTACGGGAATTCCAGGTACAGGCCTGGGGGCAGCTCCCACCAGGAGAGGTGCCCTTCAGATTCTTGTGCTCAGTGAGAATAGCCCTGGTGGGTCAAACATCCTTTTATGAACCCAAAGCTGGCTTTGAGCTGAGGAATCACTGGGTGGGAGGTGGAGGTACCATTCCTTTTCCCAAGATTTAGTCTCTGGCTTGAAGAGTTGTAAAGTGAGAGGTCACAGCCTTCCTGAAGGTCACCCTCAAGCCTGTGGAGTCACTGAGGAGACACTACCTGCTGGGGGGTTACTCTGTCATGGTGTCCCACAGACCTACATTCGCAGCATGGACAAGGACTTTGTGGCAGCCACAATCCAGGCCATTGGACGCTGTGCAACTAACATCGGCCGAGTCCGTGACACCTGCCTCAATGGCCTGGTGCAACTGCTGTCCAACCGTGATGGTCAGTGTTTGCCTGTCTGAGTGTACGACTTTGATGATCAGTGGGTATCTGCCTGCATGTTTGATTCTGCTGGCCAATGGGTATCACCTGTCTGTCTAGGCACTCTGTGTCCATTGGTCCGTCTGCCTTGATTAGTACCCAGGTGTTCTTATACCTCTGTGGGCTGCTATAGAAGTGCAGGGGGTCGAGGAAGAAAGCCATGGGCCTGGGGCATCACAGGTGGGTCTGTCCACCTGGGTGTGGCCATTTGACTCTCTTGGGGTCCACACACTTTTTTGTTCCATAGAGCTTGTAGTTGCAGAGTCAGTGGTTGTCATTAAGAAATTGCTACAGATGCAGCCGGCACAACATGGAGAGATCATCAAACACTTGGCAAAGCTAACAGACAACATCCAGGTGAGGAGTAGCTGCATATTTCCCTCCTTACCCAGTGTCATACCCATGATTTCAAGGTCCAGTAATTAAATTTACCAAGCTCAACTTCTAAAACTTCCACATTGACTCAAAGATCTTCTGGGAGAAGGAAGAGAGAGACTGGAACATGTGACCCTGATCTTGTTGCCCAATATTTGCCTTCCCTTTTGGGACCTCTCACTGGGCTCCATGACTGTTACCACCACTCTTGTTTTCTCTCTAAAGCTCTGACCAAGGATGGCTGACTGACAAATTCTGTGTTTTTCTGTTGCACTACTGAGTTGAAACAAGCAAACAAGGAATTCCCAAAGATTCAGGGAGAGAAACATGGCAATAAAGCATTGAGGGTACCATGAGTCCAGATATTCAGACTTTTAAATCATGACTGACTTTGAGGTTTGAGGCTCTGCCCATGCTAATGAAGCCCCAGGGAAGAGGAGAGATGCTGTCCAGGAAATGCCCACCATTTAATCTCTGTCCCACTCCTATTTCCAGATAACCCATAACATACCAGGCCAGCACATATGGGAGGAGTGCCATTTTCCTGGCAGTCCACATTCCCACCCACTTTTCACATTTACCCTTGTCCTCATTCCTCTCCCGTAACCGCAGGTGCCCATGGCCCGAGCCAGCATTCTGTGGCTCATCGGAGAGTACTGTGAGCATGTCCCCAGGATTGCACCTGACGTCCTAAGAAAAATGGCCAAGTCATTCACAGCAGAGGAAGATATCGTTAAGCTGCAAGTCATCAACCTGGCAGCCAAACTCTACCTGACCAACTCTAAACAGGTAAAGATTGAGAGATGTCCCCCAAAATACTTTAGTCCCCAGAAACTGCCTGGACAGTATTCTTTTTTTTTTTTTTTT